GCCCCATGCTTTTCAATTTAAACAGATAGGGTCCATTGATCTAACAAAGGCAGCCTGTTTTGAAAGGTCGGTTTAACCTAAAAATATTTTAGTTTAAGGGTGGTTAGGACATTATTTAACAATGAATTATTAGAGTAGTGACCTTCAGTGTACGTTAAGTCTTGTATTCACCGATACAATTTGTATTGATATTAAGACAAGCACCCATCTATCATATCTTTTTGTTAAGCTAATGTTCATGAGTGATGCCACCTTTGCTTTCTGGGAAAGGAGACGCAATGTGAAATTGTAAACAACACTTAATTTTTGTTCTATAGTTTGTGTGAATGACTGCATAAGCTACTGTGTCACATTGATAGTAAAATGCAGATTAGCACTGTGTCTTTGTTGATGGGAAAGAGGTTTGTCTTGGTTAAAGAAGGGATTAATTACCTCAACGTCTTCCTCTTTGTCCATTTTATGACTGAATTGGATTTTTCAGTGTTTCTAGTATTTACAAGTATTTGAATTTTGTCTCCCCATTTTAGTCATGGACCTCTGACACTGAGTGGCTGGGTTAATTAAGCTTTTAACATTCTTGATTTATCAACTGAAATACTGGAGGGATTGTGAGAGTATCTCCCACGACAATGTTGGGAACTGGAAGGGGATAATTTGCTTCTTGAGAATATGTTCTCCAGGAATCGCTTCAATGGACAACATGGAGCAGGTGTTGCCCCAAAAGGAGGAACAAAGGCAAAAGTCCATTCCCCCAAAAAGAGGGCTCCAAACCCCAGGGTGGCACTTGTCATTCGGGGAAAGATACATCGTCTCCTGCAAGGGTCTACAGATCACCATGTCCCAGATGCTGATCCCTACTATCCTGGTATTGAAGAAGATGAGAGGGAAACACAGGAGAGCAGGAAGGAGCATAGAAGAGTATATCCAAGGGTTAGCACCAGTGCTGAAACCTACTCTCCAAAAGTGCCCAATGGTAAAGGACATGCTGTAGCACCTGGGCCACCATGTGTAGGAGAGGTGGAACTAAACAGAGAGGGATGTATAAGAATACCCTGCACTTTGCAGCATAGAAGCTCCAGATCCCAAACAAATGTAAAACACATCTCATTTGAAAGTGGAATTCCTGAAGCTCCTGAGCAAATGCGATCTTCTAGCTACTATGGTCCAGTTGGCTCCGACATGAATGGTGCTAGATTTGCAAGGACACATGGAAGGGAATTTGCTTCACCACGAATTCGGCCAAAGAGACCATATTCTACTGGTGATTGTGTGGACTACAACTTCAACAGAACTCTCCCAAGTACGCTGCTGGAAGAGGATGAAGATAAAGAGGAGGAGTCAAGTGCCATCATTGAGCACATTCTAAAGGAGCTGAGGGGAATAAATAAGATTCAGGAAGAAATCTCAGATCTCAGGGATTACCTGACCTCAGTTAGAGGGTCAGTTGAGGAAGTATCTTCCTGTGTAGATGCTGTATTATCTGAGATTGAGGGCATCCGTTCTAGCAACAAGGCTGGTTCAATGGTGCATGCAGGTACATGGTCAGGGGCAGGGTGCAAAGATGACACATCACCCCGCAGAAGGCCAGCTAGTGCTTATGGCAGTTTAGGGAGTGCAATGCCAAAGTCTGGTTCAAATATATTCTCTCAAGTCTGCGAAGAGCACCATAGTATACATGGAGAATTACCAATACCAGGGCCAGAAGCATCTACTGTATCTCCAATTGCTGAATCAGTAGATCACAATGAACTGGAGGAAGCAGAGGATACCTCTGACCATAGCTCCGATATCCCAGTAGGTGCTATAGCAAGAAAACTCAGCTTTGGCTACTTAGAAAGACAGGATGGCCAAGACTATCCAAGCACCAGCTCTTTGTCATCTGGTCATAGTTCCAAGTCTGAATCAGACATAGAGATACCATCATGTAGTCATGGAAGGAAGCAGCAAAAAGCTGATGGTGATGATCATTGGACTGATTCAAGAACCCAACGCAGGGATGCTGGGGAATCTGTCTGGCATGGGGAAACTGCTTACCTTAGGGACAAAAGCCTTGCGGTGCATGAAGATGACAGCCCTCTTTGTTGTGATAGAACTAGTAGCTGGGATCACTACAGAGGTGCAGGAGGATATAGTACATCAGGGCAGTGCTCCACAGGAAGCTCAGAGCACCTCTCTGTTCGCTCTGGTAAACATTATAACTCACCTGCCAGCACTACTAGCAGGGAGGAGTGGCAGTCAAGGAGGAGAAGGCCTCAAACCCAGTCTGCAATTCATGTTCCAAATGATACCAACCTTGAAAACCCTGCTGGAGGATATGAATGTGCTACTGAGTTTTCCTACCCTCAAAGTTCTGGTTACCATTCAGTTGATGGGCATGATGGAGAAGCAGAAGAATTTGGCTATGGACAATCAAATAACCTTAGTTACATAGCAGACTATCAACTTGATAGTCAGGAACCTCATTTAGCCTATGAAACATCCCTAGATGGGACATGGACTGAGACATCTCTATGTACTAATGTAGCTGATGGTGATAACCAATTTATCCAAGACACTGAAACCAGACACCAAAGCTTAGAAAACCGATTCCATCCCCTTGGCAGTGAAGACATCCAAGCTGGTGGTTTCACAGTAAAACGTATTGGTAAAGCTGTCCTAGATTTTAGTTCTGCCTTGCGCGGAGCATTGCGGAAACTTGACCCACCTGCAGCCCAAAATGCTGGAGAAGAAACAGACTTTGAAATATCAATGCCATCGGAACTGTATACAATTGAGTTGCCTTCAAAAACGTTATACTATGGGGCACTAAATGAAGAAACTTCAAATGACACCCTAAAGGGTGATGTGGTTGACCGTAGTAGTGTTGTTGCAGAACTAAGCAATAACAATACTCTTGACAAAAGTGATCTTTTCTCTGTGGAGTCTTTGCCTGAAGAAACCAATATCAGCCTTACATTGATGTCTAAGGACAACCAACATTCTACTTGTTCAGACACAATTTTGCCATGCCCAGAAGAACTTTCAGCCTGCCCTGACCCAATGTCTAGTAGCCCTCCATTATTGCCTTCACCCAGTGACCCTACAGAACAACCCACAAAGGGTCCTGCAGAAGGTCCAGCTAGTGGTCTTGCAGATCGCACCATCAAAGCCCAGATATCCCAGTGCACAACTACAGAATCCCTCTCGGTCTCCCTCTCGGCTGATGAACCACTTGCCCAGCAACCCCCCACAGACATTACGTCCCTAGATGACAAAGTGGGAGGAGAGGCAGCAGATCCCCCCATAGAGATAAGCCAGATGGATGAACGGAGGCTACAATGTCTGAGGACCTTCCAGCAAATTCTGCGAGAGAAGAGGGAATCCAGGCGCAACCTTGCCAGTATGACCATGTCAACCTTTTCTCAGGAGGATTTGGAACCAGGTACCCTTCACTTGGTTTTACGTTGGACTCCATTTTTGTGTCACCACGTACATTTTGTTTAATGTTGACCTTTTTATTTTTGCCTAAATCAGTCATACATTGGATTTGAGTTACAACTGCAGACACACTTGTATTTCAAATAATTCAAGTGTATTCAGTGTAATACAATTACATACAAGATTTACATCTTACATGGTTTTGAGCAGTCCTTAGGCACAACAGAAAACATTTGCATATTGATATTATATATTTTTCTTGACATCATTTAATTTTGAAACCAAAAGATATTATTTGACTTTCAATAATCATATTAAATATGAGTATACTTGATTAAAACTTTCTGTTCCACTTTTGTGTCAACAAAGCATCCCATTGTTGTCCCATCTGTTAATATTGCAGTGGGATTTTTGCATTAATAAATGCATATTTTCCTGTATCTTCCTAGGGTTAACATAGTAGTTAGAATAAACCTTTACACTTAAAGGTACCAAATGGCCTTTGCTCTATATTCTACCACCTTAAGAAAATTGTGTCCTTTGCCATTTACTAGTCTTTTACTCCTCTACAAGGCTCCAGCATTGGCTATTTGCTGAATTAGATATCATTCATTATCTCCTTGGAAAGTGAGCCTGACATTAAAGAGGAAGGAGGAGGGAGAGTCCTTTTGTGATAAATTATACTTGTTAATGGAACAGTTATGACCTAGTCACCCTTTTATATGAAAACTCACTGGCTGAGCTACCTTTTAACATTACCCAAGTAATGTGCAACAAAATTGATTCTCTAGCTTGTTTTTTTCTATTTTGCATGATGATTAAAACTAGTCATTGACTGTTTTCTTCTGTTATGCTGTTTTACAGATGGAAGTCAAGACGAAGTACAGGTTACCTCTTTTGTAGTATCTCTCCCATTACATCCTAAAATATGTTGTACTGAAAACAAATCTGTATATTTTTACACATTCTTTTCATGGCAGTGTCTGCATCCAGCAAATTTTCCTTGTTTCTTTTGTTTTTGGATAACTTCTGACAGTTTCAGGATAATAGTAATGAAATCCAGTACACTATGGTTTTACGAGATGTCAACCTCAACAGATTTGTGATTTATTAAGAACATTTGTGGTTTCAGTCATAAAAATACAACTGCCAAAATGAGCATGTCTGTATTGATTGGGACACAATATTGATGAAAAATAATATTAATGTTTTACGTTTCTTTGCTGTGGCTTTTCTTTACTAGCTGTCAGAATTGAAAAAAAGGCTGTTTGGGAGCAAAAGTCAATATTCGGTTTGTGTTTACAATGAGCATGTGTGGTTTGGTAAGTGTTTACTTTACAAGGTGAAACCAGATTTACGATGCTCATATATGTAGAAGGACAATGTGATTGATTGAAAGCTTTCTTTGGCATGCAACGTTGAAACTCAACCAACCCAGTCAGTCCAAATGTTTCTCTTCTGATTTTTTCCACTTGCTTTTTGGTTTCTCTTGTGCTTGTGTGTGTGCATGTTTCAGTTTCATAAAACCAATGGACCGTCAGCCTTCAAAGGCTTAATGCTTAATCTTTGACATTCTATTTCAGGGCCGAGATCAAGATGGTGACCCCGCCAAGCACCCTTGGGCCAAGCCAGGGTCAGTAAATACTTTTGTTGTGTATGTGTATGTCAGCAAGACCATATGGTTGGTTTACCAGATGTAGTGAATAAAGCTGGATTTTTTAAATTCTGTTATTGATGACTGCATTTTGGTATTGGTTTGTGTTTCAGAGGAAATGCACCGTTTGGCATTGACAGCATGCCAGATCTCCGCAAGAGGAGGCCCATTCCTCTTGTTAGTGAACTGGTGAGTCAACATAGCTCAGAATCTGTTTCTTGACACTTTTTCTTGAACTTCACTTAACCAAACTGTTTTACAACCAACTCTGGTCATGATCAGACTCAATATTTTTTTCATGGGTTAATTGAAGAGTATTGATTTGGGACATAAACTCAATTTTAAATATTGGGCAAAAGCAACTAAATAGAGAAAAAGAATCAATACAATCAAAAACAGAAGCGTGTATGTTAGCAACAAAACCCTCAACTCACCTTGCACATCCTACATAAAAACATTCAAACCCTATTCACTAAGATTCAAAACTTTTGGCTATTGTTTTGAGAGGATTCACACTGGTCCACATAGATGGTGTCAAGTGACAGTAGCATACAAAATTAATACGGTAAATGGACCAATTAAGTGTCAATATGTTATATGTATATATATATATATATACCACTTAATTTTGACCCACTGACCCAGCTTGATGCAGACATATTTTAAGGTTTGTTATAATGCCATTACTTATTAAAGGTTAAGTGATTAAATAAAACCGTTGATAATTTGACGCTCTGATCTAAACCTCTAAGCAGGCAATGTTGTGTTCATTTTTCAGGTCCACCATAACAAATACTATCAATTTAAAATTGACTTTGGGCTGTTGTTTGCCAAACTGTTAAATTGTTAAGTATGCTGAGTGGTCTTCAAAGTAGATCCTGACTGACATCTTAAGAGTAATAGGCCCCTTGTTATTGTTTTAATCTTAAAGAGCCTCAATGTCCACACAAGGCTGAATATATAGTATCTTACCCAAGGATACACTGACATGTAGACAGGAGGACCTGGGGATTGAACCATCAACGTACCACTAAGCGACAGCTTGTGACTAAAATATTCACCTGTTATCTCATTGTGCGCATATTCAACAACTCAAAATCATCAATGTGCATCAAACCAAACATAATTTGTCTCAAGCTGACTTTATTTTTATTGTATCAACACAGTCGAATAATGCACATTATTTTAGTTACAGTTTTAGTTACTATTACTTAAGATGATGATTCAAGAATAACGACTTGCAGCTACATGCAAGATAAAAGCATGACAAGCACTTCTGTTGTTAAACCCTCTCCGTCTTTATCCGTGTTTTCTTTTTGTAAGACCTGACTTGCAGGATTCAAGGTGAGGACTTGTTATCCTCTCAGAGGGGAACATGTTTGTTTGTTTCTAACCTATTTTCTTTCTCCTTGTTCTCTTTCCTTGCCCATGATGTCTGCCCTCCTCTCATCGGCCCTCAGGCTATGGTGAGTAAAAAGAGATTTTAAGATAAGATTTGTTTTATGGTCTTTGTTTTAAACTCTCTAAGGCTACATTCACACTGCATGTAAAAGTGACAAGAATCTGATTTTTTTGCTCCTATTTGAGACATCTAATTTTTTTTTACAACATTTTGAATAGCGCAAGTCACTAGAATCTGATATTTTCAAATCAGATTTGGGCAACTTTCTTATTTGGATACCAACAGGAGCCTGAATAATCCACATTTAAAAAGTAATGTGAACAGCAAACAAAACAAAAACATAGATCTGTGCAAAAAAATCTGAATTGAGCATTAAGGTTTGCATTTCAATACCCTCCCTTTGTAGTTTTCATGTGTGTGTTAAGAAATGTGGTTTACAAAAAAGCAACCCATTAAAAAATGGAAAGGCTTTCTATTTCCCTCAGCTCAGATTGATGATTTTCTTTGTTTTGTAAAACGGTTCTGTAATTAACAGGTTTGTTATGTTTCTCAATATCAAACCTCTACAAAAGCAAATAGAGTTAAAGGTTGCAGTGTCTCCTCTCTTCAGTCTCACATTGACTTTGAATTACTTCAGGGAGACTGTTCGTGTCTGAGCAGTTAGAGCTGTGAATATTCAGCTGCTGAGATCTAAGAAACTTGACTCGTGATTAAAGAAACGTGTCTCCTTTGAATTGACGTGGATCCTCCAGAGTAAAGGTCAAACTCTGCAGCAGAGGTCTGAGCATAAGAGCGCCGTGGAGGTTTGAACAGATGTAAAAGCTTTGGGAAAATGTGGTGTTCAAAAAATGTACTTACATTAATGATGAAGTCAAAGTCAAACAGACAAAACCTGCATATGCAACTGAAAATAATTTGGTGAACACACTTTGCCTAAAACAGTTACAGGTTGAACTACCAAAAAGACATGAAATCTAAAAAAGTAAAGATGTGCACATGATAGTGTGGATTGTGTAAAAACTGCAAGGATTTGTATTACATAGTTATAAAATCGTGTGCAGAGGAGATCGGACATCAAACAATCAATCCGTTTTTTTTTTAAATCACAGCATAAGCTGGTGAAGCTTTACCGGTTAACTATTCTCTTTTTGAGATAATTTTTATAATAGACTGAAACATCAGTAATCACATGTTATTAAAAGTGATCATTCTTTTAGTAGGTTCTCTGAGTTTCCAACTTTTTCAACATGTTGCAGCTACAAAAATGGCTGGTCACTACTTTTGTCGCAGCTTCTGAATTTAGTTTTTACTTATTTAAAAAGAAAAAAAATATTTTTTTATTTATTTTGCCATGCCTTTATTGGAGAGACAGAACAGTGGGTAGAGTCAGAAAAGTGAGACAGAGAGAGTGGGGAATTTCATTTTCATTTTACCTTTATTTATTCTCGACAAATCATTGAGGGCAAGCCCTCATTTACAATGACATGCGGGAAAGTAGCCACAGTTCACATTCAAACTCGGACCTCCTGCTTTAACAAATACAGCCTCTGTATAGGAGGCGCACATTGGAACCACCCAGCTGCTACAGCCTATTTTTAATGGAGTAGTTTACATTTTGGTAAATATGCAAGACTTACATGAGTAGTTTGATACAAATCTCAGAAGTATCTAGATCTCCTGAGAAACTTGAGTGGATAGCTCAAAAAATCTCTAATTAGAAAACCTACAGTGAAGATCCTTTGAAATGTAGTACATACATTTTCAATACATAAGAAACATATATTGGTGTTTTCCTTAGTGGAAAGATGGGTGACAAAAATTGTGCATTCAAACTGAGAAATTTTACTGACTTTCAGAGTAATTCCTTTTTAAATGTTTTTTTTCTCTCTCTGGCTGTTGTGAGTGATGCATTTTCCTCTGTTCTTTCTAGTCTATGATACAGTCAAGAAAAGCTGGACTCGCCCACACACTGGCCACCAGGACCTCCCTGAAAGACGAGGAGCTTGTAAGTGGCTAAATACACTGAACCTACATTATCATAGATATCTACAGTAATCTCCTGGCGCCTGGAGGCCAGCTAAAAGATGCACACAAACTACACTTACAAACTTACAAACACTCACACACACTTTCCTGCAGCCCTATTGTTAATCTGTTTGTTGGAGATCCAATATACTGTGGACTCTGAATTTGGTTGAGTCAGCTTTAGTCTGCCTCTGGTTTTAATAAAGCCCGGAGCAGCAAAGCTTATTATTGTTAGTTATTGTTTGTTTGTGCCTCTCTTGACGTACTGTGCAGAGTCATGACTGTGATTAAATTATAATTTCTGAAACATTAATTATTCAAGTTTATAAAGTAGGTTAAAGGTAATAATACAGTGGAGAACAGGGAGCCTTCCAGCTTTAGAAGATGATAACTTATGTAATGTAATTAACCATTGTGGAAATGGGGGGGGGGGTTTGAGAACATTATTTCTCTAAATGTTCCTCTCACCATATTCTTATTTATCTTCTTGTATGTATAGTGATTGTGCTGACTAAACACAGGTCAAACAAAGTGGGAAACATGGCTTCTGTAGTGGAGACTGAGTGCACTAACTCTGCACATAATCAATCATTGTGTTATCACATGTGTGGTAATTCACACATGGGGGGGGCAATTCAAAAGCACACAGAGCAGTAGAATAACAACAGTGCAGGTAGACGAAACATTTTTACCTAAATATAAAGTGTCAATTTAAATACAACTTAAAGCTTAAACTTAACTTAACTACAAAATATAAAAAGAGTAGATATAAGTGCACGGTGATCGGACTGAGAGATGTAAACAGATGTAAACAGAACTCTGTGCAGTAAACAATAAATAAATATATACATATATATACAGAGCTGAGATGTGCAAGTAGGCAAAACTAAATGATTAGTTTAAGTTATAAGGTGCATGGCGAAGTTATCCAAAACAACAAAAACATGCAGTTAACACATGTTTGCAATGTTCATTTAACTGGGAGTTAACTTTACTTTTGAGTTTGACCTTAGATTTGTTATAAGCAGCAGTTTTTGATGTGACATTGTAATGATGGTGTTACTCATCGTTTCACCTACATATCAAATGACACATTTTGTATAAACAGTAAATTTCATGTCAGAATGGTTTTATTTATCAAGGCTGAAAGTAAGAATCTATCTGTTGATTGAAAAGAAAGTAAGCAATTTAGCAGCTGGTTTTCATATCAATGAAATGCAAAAAAAATAAATATTTTCAATATTTTTGAGGGCTCTTTTGACCTTCATTTGATTGGACAGTTATAGAGTGACAATGTGGGGATAGAGAGTGAGGGAGGAAATGCACCGAATAACATAATTGACTAGGAGTCAAACCTGCAACCTGTGCAAAAATGTCAATTTAACAATATAATCTGGCGATTTCACCATTTGCTAACATATCACTGCTTCCAGTCACTGTAAATTCAAGCTTACTCATTCTAACTTATTCTAGCTAACACAGATGGCCGTCATTAGCATTTTAGCTAACTTTTCGTTTTCTTAATTATATACATTGGAGTGCAATGAAGTAAATCAGAGGTTGTAGAACAAGGTAGAACAACATGATTGAGTAAATTTTAAAGCAGAAGTACAAAAAAAGGAAGTTAAATAACACAGAGAACCATATAGAAACGATTGTTTTTCTTATATAATGTTCATTCTTCCCTTCTATTCACACCACTATATGACCACTACAATGTAATAATCATGGGCATCACAATGATGACTCACATTCCCAAATTCTGTGCTGGGCTTCTAGTCAAGGTGTTCTCTCATCCTGTGGAGATGTGTTCACCTCCTCCCACACTCCTCCTACACTGGACAACAGCAGAATCCAGGTCATCAACGAACAAGCAGAGCATTTTAAAAAACACAAATTAGCTCTGTCTTCAACCCTGTTTTTTTGAATAATAGATTAGCTGTAGCTACCTTAAAATAACCGATTTCAGGATTTTTGTCTCAGACTAATGCTTATGATTTTTATTTCCTAAATATCACACTTGGAAGAATGTTGTTATAGCTTTTATATTAATTCCTTCCTTGGTTTTTTTTTTTTTTTTTTTTTTTTTTCATTTTTCTCTTCTGTTTTCGGTACCACAAGTACCTCTGTACTTGGTTGTAAGGGTGTCATTCACTTTTTCGTCCTTTTTTTCTTGCCTTTTTCTGTATCCCATGTTTCTCTCTTCTTTGAAAATCTCTCGTGCAATTTCTTTTCATTTTGCTTTTTTGTTACAACAACTATAACTTGTTTTTTCTTGTCTTCCATCCATCCTTCTTTCTCCTTTGTCTTGAACAGAAAACCCATGTCTACAAGAAGACCCTGCAGGCCCTGATCTACCCCATCTCCTGCACCACACCGCACAATTTTGAGGTGTGGACAGCCACCACGCCCACCTACTGCTACGAGTGTGAGGGTCTGCTGTGGGGCATCGCTCGGCAGGGTATGAGATGTGCAGAGTGTGGGGTCAAAGTGCATGAGAAATGCCAAGAGCTGCTGAATGCTGACTGCCTGCAGAGTAAGTAAAATTATCAAACATCTTAAAAAGTTTAACCAAGTATATTTCTTTCTTTTTTTCACATTTTTGTCAAATGTTTAGTTAGTTTTTGTGTTGTTGTAGCATTTTCCTAAATTATTTTTTATACGTTAATTAAATCCTTTTTTCTTAACAAAGACTGTTTCCAGTTTTAGTTTTTCTCTTACTCTCTGGAAAGCATCATTTACTCTTTATTTTTGTGTCCCTCCACCTTTTCAATTTTAGGAGCAGCAGAGAAGAGTTCCAAGACAGGGGCGGAGGACCGCACACAGCACATCATCACAGCGATGAAGGACAGGATGAAGATCCGCGAGAGGAACAAGCCAGAGATCTTTGAGGAGATCCGAAAGCTGTTCAACATCACCAAGATGATCCACATCCAGTACATGAAGGGCATCAAGCAGAGTGTCCTGGATGGCACCTCCAAGTGGTCTGCCAAGATCACCATCAACAGTACGTCCAGTGAATTTTTAACATTTAAATTGAAAACCTGTGAACGGTTTCCTAAACACTCCAAGGAGAATATAACTTTTCACGTTTTTCACAAGTTTAGGAGTAAGTTAGAATAGGTTTCTTGACATAATAGTTTGTATTTATTGGCACTATAAAAAATTAAAATGTATCAATTAATTAATCATTTACTTTTTAGAAACTTAACGGGATAAGAAAAGTTGTTCTTGCAAAAAACTAAACTCATGAGTAAAGGTTTCCTGCAGTCTCAAAAAGAAAACAAATATTAAATCACATGAAATCAATATCGGACTACATTTTCAGGAGCATAAAGAATTTGTATTAAAGCGGTTAGAAAGTCGTTTTTTTGCACATTGGAATCCTAAGAAGGATCAGAAAAAGCTGGAAAGTAAATCCATCAAGACACCTGAAAACACAACACAGTTGATATCTGTGAAAAGCTGCAGTAGTGTGAATATGAAGCAGTGTTGCTGAAGCAGAGAATGTCAGGTTTCCCCGAATAAATACCAAAAAACTGAGACTATGCCAAATTCATGGATCTTCCTCTTTTATTATCTGAAGTGTACAGAAACATGAACTGTTTATATGCAAGATTCACTAATTCAAACAGACATATATCCCCATACCTTTTTACCTTTTTGCCAAACATCATCAGGACTGCCACTGTAACCAAAGCAACCAGTCACATCATACCATATAGTGGCAGTGGTGTTGCCATGGCAGCCATCACACCTTGTCGACCTGATCAGGAGTCATGAGCTCCAGTGAAGAGGAGAAACGTTCTTACTGCTGGCGCTTTGTTTCAAATTCAGTCATGATCAGCTGCAGAGTGGTGTTCCTCACTGTTCTGCTGATCAAGGTCTGTTTGTATAGTAACACATTCTGCAGATTAAGTGAAATTCAATGGTGTAAAAAAAAAAGTAGCGGTATCATTTCTGAATTGCCGTCATAGATAAAAGATAACATAGATAATAGATAACACAATTAAGGTTTGGTTTTCTTCAAATGTGGAGGTCGAAACTTTGCAAAAATATTGTTCTCAGGTAAAAGAAGATTAAATTTGATTAAGATGTTTGATCATTTATCTACTGAAGTAACAGTAAAAAGTGACTTATTGGTTACCAATGGTTACTGTGCGTGCCCCATGCATTGAGGCTGTCGTCTCAAGCGGGCGGCCCGGGCTCGCATCCCGCCCGTGGCCTCCCTCCCGCATGTCTTTCCCCACTCTCTCTCCCTGGTTTCCGACTCTATCCACTCTACACAAAGCCCAAAAAATTAATCTTTAAAAAGTGACTTATTTAGTTCAAAGTAATTAGTACTTACTTTTATACCTGAGGGCGAAGGGGGTGGATCTTAAAAGTAAAATGTTAGCTCTCCATCCTGTTCAGTGCAAAACTGACAAGAGAGTATCAATCTGCAACCAGGTTGTTTAATTAAGGAACAGCTCTGTAATAAAGTGACCAAATTGTGGTTCAAAGCCAAAAATGTTAACTTTGAACCAAGATGTGGTTATTTCTGAAGAGATAAAATGAAGAATAAACCCTGTTCCCAGTGGTTCAAAAGTTTTTCCTCATAAACACAATGCAGAGAGGTCATACAGTCTCTTTAAATCATTCACGTTGCTTAAAGTTTTAAGATTTTAACTTTTAATCAGCCTTCTTTTAATTTTAACATGAATCCATCATGTCTCTCTTTTGAAATACATTCAGACACACTCATATCACTATCTCAGTTCTGTATTTAAGCTGAGTTGAGACTGAAGTTGATGGTGACTGACAGTAGAAGCTCTGCAGAGAGCTCTTTGAAGAAGCCATTGAATTCATTAGGGAACGTTTGAACCAATTAATTCAAAACTCCGTTCAGTAAAGATAAAATACATCAGTCACTGACCCTGAATGAAACTCCAGCAAAGATATTAAAGAGGCTGATATGAATTTGATTGATGTTGAGTTTCTCGGTGCAATAACTTAAAGAGCTGACATAGTGGCTGGTGCTGGTGTTACCGCCAACCCTCCAGTTGAGAGATGACCAAATCTACCACTGACCCACAGTCGATCCACCTTTTCAATTTGTTGGACATTTCTGAGCTCCCTTGCTGATTAGACACAATGTTAGCATAGCTGCAGTTAGCTTTGGTAAACCATTGAAAGTTTTAATTATAGCCTATAGTGGAAACATGGTTCATTTTATGGCATCAATCACCACAAACCTTTGAACAATAAAGTGTGTCTGTGTCACTGAAACTGTCTGTTATTGTTTGTGACTTTGTTATAGAGACAGTGTAAATGAAACAATAAGCAGAAAACACAGGATAACAAAAATAATTTAAGGTTCAACAAATGCATGTCAGCTTATAAAAAAATCTCCATTAAACCACTTTGAAAACTTGCTGCAAAGAATAGCAGAATATCAGGTGAGCAAGAGAGAAATGTTGTTGCGGCACATCTGCCTGTGAGTCATGATTGCTGTGTTACGAGCCTTTGCATAACAGTGTGGGGGATTTCTGTGTTATACAGTGTGTGTGTGTGTGCATGTGTGAATGAGACAGAAGATTGTGGTAACGAGTAGGTGTTTGTTGTTCTTATGCAATTTTCATAGTCATTCTCACTGTTTGTGTGTGTTTGTTTGCGTGTGTGTGTGTGTGTGTGTGTGTGTGTGTGTGTGTGTGTGTGTGTGTTATCAGTCGTCAGTGCACAGGGTCTCCAGGCCAAGGACAGGACAGGATCCAGTGACCCATATGTCACTATCCAAGTAGGGAAAACCAAGAAGAGGACAAAGACCATCTACGGCAACCTGAACCCTGTCTGGGAGGAAAAGTTCAGCTTGTAAGTTCATATTTTATGATCTTCCTGATTGTAAAGCTCATCTAGAGCTCCCAGAGGTCTGGGAAATTGCAGGAGAGGACAGGTCAGATAATAAATAAATATATATATATGTTTAACCTACAGAAGTTTTTTTCTTTTCTTTTTTTAATACAGTACTTTAAAGTCTTAACAGCCTTAAAATCTTTGCAATGTTTTAGGAAATACATTAACGATTTGTCTTTCAAATCAACAAGCAATCTTCAGTAGCTAGCTACCTCAGAATGATAATTATTGAAGTATTTTTGAAAGTACTGTATGTTCATCTCTGCCATGCGTACATGCCCTCCTCTTAAGCAACCTGCTCAAACACTACACAACACACACTATACATTCAAAGCTCTACAACGAACCCAATTGATCCTTTTTTCACAGCGAGTGCCACAACTCGTCTGATCGTGTAAAGTTGCGTGTTTGGGACGAAGACGACGACATCAAGTCTCGAGTGAAGCAAAGACTGAAGAGAGAATCTGACGACTTCCTGGGTCAGAGCATAATTGAGGTCCGAACTCTGAGTGGAGAGATGGATGTCTGGTACAACCTGGGTATGTAATCATAGCCATGGGAATATGGAAAATGTGGTGTGTGTGTTTTTGTGTTCGTTATCGTGTACTTCTGTGTTTGCTGCAATGTATGTTTGGTATTTATGCGTGTGTGGTTTGGAGTGTGGGTGTTGCTCAGTTAGCAGAGCAGTTGGATCCCTCACCATTTAAGTTGTAGTGTTAAATCCAAAGTTCACCTTACCTTTAACTCTGGAAGATGTATAAATTGCAAATGTGTCTGTGGGTGTGTGGGTGTTTGCCTGCAGAAAAGAGAACAGACAAGTCGGCTGTGTCTGGTGCGATTCGTCTTCAGATCAGCGTGGAGATCGAGGGAGAGGAGAAAGTGGCACCCTACCATGTACAGTACACATGCCTTCATGAGGTAATATGCGCACACACACACACACACACACACATACACACACACACACACACACACATCAACCCATACATCCGTCCCCAAACACACACACAGATACTTTACTGTAGTCCACCAAAGTTTCAATCCTCCATAATGTAAGGGTCACATTGAAAGAAATTAGGACAAAATTAAGAACTGAGAATAACTTGCATAACTTTTTTAAATTACTTTTTAATACATCTTGCACCAAATGTATTTAAGGAAAATGAAATAAAATTAACTTTTTAATCTGAAATAATAAATTAAAAATCATTTTAAAATCCTTTTAAGTTGTTTCTTAGCTTCTCATGTTATATGCAGCTAAAATGAGCATATTTATTCTAAAATTATAAAGAAAAGAACTAGTCAGAAGTGAACAATTTCTCTATTTGCAAGGAAAATGTAACGTTGACACCTCACAGTGACAAGTCATGAATTTCAAAGTGGTACCATGTAAGCTGATTTTGAAGCCCCAACATCTATCAGTCATTTCTGTGATGTCTTCTTCAATAAAGAGGGCTGATGTTTTCTTGCCTACTCATCATTTTCTCTGCAGAACATGTTCCACTACTCGACAGACGTGGAGGGCGGCGGCGTGGTGAAAATCCCAGTAGCTCAGGGAGACGATGCCTGGAAGGTTTATTTTGATGAGCTGCAGCAGGATATCGTGGATGAGTTTGCCATGCGCTACGGCATCGAATCCATATACCAGGCCATGACGTAAGCATAGTGTGTTTGTGTGTAAATGTTAGCTGTTTGAAACCGTAGGCACATGCCATAATGTCAGCCCGTCGTGTGGGAGTGTAAAATCAAATCAGGAAATGCTTGAGATGAGTGCTGGGTAGGGTGTTTGTAGTCCTGTGTGTGTCTGTCTGTGCTGATAAGAGGTGGGCGGGGTTGTCATGAACTAAAAACAGCATTGAAATTAGATTTTCTTGTCTAATTAAAAAAGATGACCTGTCACCTCTGAGATTTCCTGGCTGTTTGATCTAATCATTGCTAGCAGGTGGCAGGGCTTAATGAACATGTACATTAGCACACAAATGTTTAATTACATTAATAATATTGTAATATGATCTTAAAGGGCGAGAGAAGATCTAGTGTTTGTTCTGTTTCATGAAGGACCTCGAGCACATAACACGATAAAAGTGGGAAGTGTTGAGGAAATGAAATCTGGAAGCAGATTTTGTCCCAGTGGAAATAACGGACGCCAGCCAATCAATAACACAACCATATGAAAGTACTGATTTGAATATACAGAGGCAGTGTTGAGTCAATGCAGAAGTGTCTTTGCATAATGAAAGCTCCTAGACTTCAGTGACGTTTTGCATCCTTCTCAAGAACAATCTGTTGGAAAAGAGAACATTGTATTGAGCCATTTTTTTACATCAGGTGTTAAGTATCCCTTGCTCCCAATGAAGTAAAATGTGCTCCCAAAAAATTCAATAGTTTGTTCATTGATTCACAAGTTTGAACCCTCGAATGTATGATCGTGTGCATGAATTCACAATGCAATATGTTTTATACAGCACATGGTTTAGCCAGAAAGTTCTCCAGAGTAAAATATATCATGTTCTATAGTTTTAAACAGTTTTGACTGCATCACACATTATTATGTGTGCACTCTGCTGATAATAGCAAAAGCTAGCCATTATTTTGCCTGCAGACAAGAACAAATGTCATGAATAATAAGGGACAGTACATCAATTAAATCGTGTTCTTCCTTAAAGTTGGTGACTGCCTAAGGGGCTGTGGAGTTTGCTTGAGTTTTGTCAGGACACTGTAGCTTCCACCCACAGAGCTAAGGCCATAAGTTACGTTAATTAGTCTCTTCTAAATTTACGTAGGTGTGATCGTTTTTTTTTCTCTCAAAGTGGCAGCATGGAGACAGATTGACTTGCAGCCTGTCTGACGGTCAGCTGGAATAAGCTCAAGCCTGCCCTAAATTGTCTACAGTTCACATGCCTTGGTTTTTTAGTGTGAGGTGTATATCACCAGTGCACAAACATAGGACATGGACCTTAAGTATTAGACATATTTGTTTCAAGCAGCTAATGTTGACATGTGATTGCACTTTCATGGATCGCATCATTTTCCATGAGTAATTATAGGGCATACCTTAAAGAAAATGTAATTAAGAACTTGACATTTTTTGGTATATAACACATATCAGATGCAAATTATTTTTTATGTCCGAGTGTGTCCTGTAAGATGGGGCGTGTGTGCTGTGAGAGGGTGTGAGGACATTGGGAAAGACAGTGTGAAGTATTTTTTATGCCTTCAAACATGTTATTTTGGTGGGAATGAAAGAAACAACCAAAGCTAGCACATAAACCCAAAGCTTCCTGGCTCTCTTCTGATTTCAACATGAAAAAGAGCTGTTCTATTTTGAAGCTGTGATGATATTTTAATGACCAATGGCAGTTGGAGAAAAATTGGAACAATTCTGCACTAGGGCATGACTGCTTTTACTTTAACTCCACTTAAATTGTTTCCTCCATCTTTCCAACTCTTCCTCCAAAACCTCCGTCAATCCAAACCTTCAATCTCTGTTATCTCTGCCATTTACTTTTTCCCACTTTCTCCCTGGCCTCTTTATGTCTTCTGCTCAATCGCTCCATCCTCTGTCTCCACCTGTCTCATCTTTTCTTTAACCTTCTTTCCCTCCCTCTTCATGTCCATCCTGGCTTTTTAAATGCTCCTACTTCTTTTGAACCTGTAATTTCTCACCTTCCAAACCTGAAAATGTCACACTACTCTATAACTTCCTCCTCTCTCTCTCTCTCTCTCTCTCTCTCTCTCTCTCTCTCTCTCTCTCTCTCTCTCCCTCTCCTTTCCTCCTCAGACATTTCTCCTGCCTGTCCTCTAAGTACATGCTGTCAGGGGTGCCTGCAGTGATGAGCACCCTGCTGGCCAACATCAATGCCTTCTACGCCCACCCCACCGCCTCCACTAACGTGTCTGCACCGGCCAGATTTGCAGCCTCCAACTTCGGGGTGAGTGACCAACAAAAATAAACACAGAGCTGTCCAAAACAAGGAAATAAAGATCTTTTTTTTGTTAAAGCAGGCATTGAAAGGTTACAGATTTTGTACATTATACTTTAAATCTGGTAGAGAGCCTCTTCACACAGTCATCTATGAGGGTTGTCTGCTACAGAGCCGGTAGTTGCTGTTCCTTTGCTGCTTATAATCCTCCTCATTAAAAGCTATAGTGTCATACCTCTGAGGGAACTTTTGGAGCTACTCCCAACTTTGCAGTGTCTTAAATCAGGCCCCCAGGCCCCATGGGAGCCACAGAAGAGGGACAATGTCAGCTCAAGGTCAAGTTTTATGACTCGTTGGATCTTTGCAAAGTGCCGACTACAGTTCTTGTGCTGGTTTTACTCAGACTACTGGCTGGGAGTTGTTGCTTTAATGGGTCAGGGGATGAAGATAGACCCTGTTTATTGCCAAAGTGGTAACCCAATTTTTAAGCTCTGCTGGTTAATGTATTTTTATGATTTATTTTGACTGAGACATTTTTACAAGTGGGTTTCTGTTTAATCCGTTCATTTCATTAAGCTGTTCTCATTTCCCTGCTTGACCATATAGAACTTCTGTTACTCTCTAATGACTTGACACTAATTAATGCATGACTCAGCTTAAATTAATGTCAGAAAGTGGATGAAATTGTAATGAGTGTATTACATTTCATATGCTCTAATTAGCCCAAAGTAATAAATGATTAGGCTGCTGTTATATAATGTTTGACTTCTCATATAAAACAAAAACTGACTACATTTTAATAGATAGAATGACCCTTTGAGCTCTTGAACATCTGTTATGATATTACTCACTTACAGAGACGGCAAGGCAAGTTTATTTTTATAACATCTTCTACAGCAAGGTGATTAAGCGTGTCGTACACAGGATATAAAAGGGATTTTGGCCAAAAAAATAGCATTACAAGTCATTTATACATTAAAAAGCAGCAATACAATTCAGGAACAAGCATAAACGTTTGGTTTGTCCATGCAGCACTGAACATATCTGATATATGTAGCAGAGGTAGCTTCTTTTTCACACATCAGCAGACTCATTTTCATAGCATTTCTTCAGCTAATTGGGATGCCGATGACGTAGTGGTTAGTCTTGCACCCCATGTACAGAAGCTACTGTCCTCTAAGCAAGCAGCTTGGGTTCAAATCTGTGGCTCCTTTGCGGCATGCTATTCCACTCTCTCTCTCTCTCTCTCTCTCTCTCTCTCTCTCTCTCTCTCTCTCTCTCTCTCTCTCTCTGATTTCTGACTATGTCCACTGTCCTCTCCAATAAAGGCATACAAATCCAAAAAAATATATTAAAAAAAATATTCAGCTAATAAAACGTTGTACTTATTTTATACCCGAACTTGATCTTTCTACTTATACCATTCAAGTACTTGCCAAAACTAAGACACTACAACAGTTTCCCAATCTATCAGCCTATGTGGTTGCATTGAAGGACTCAATAGTCCTTCATCAGTTGACATGATTTGCAAGTAATTTATTCATAATCCACCACTCAAATTTAATTGCTGGAAAAACAGTGCCAAGGATTGTGGTCTACAAATTATTTTTTAATTTCTTTAGTCTTAATCATCTTTTTACTCCTCGTTTATTCCTCCGTTTAAGTTTGAGACAAAACAACACACAAGCAGCAGGGAGGTTAATGTTTTTCTGGCCAAACTTCTGCTCTGTCTGCTTGTTCATTTTGTATTTGTTTGAGCTTTTTTACTTTCTCTCTCTCTCTCAACTCTTAAGTGCTGCTTCCTTTCAGAGTGACCTTAAAAAAATCACTCACATTATTTTCCTCTATTATTCCTTCTCCATCTTCTGTTTATTTAGTACTTTTTTGGCCCAAATGTTGATCCAAGCCACTTTTCGTGCACCTGTTGCCATGGTAATAAGGTGAATTCTATTTCGGAGACTTAACTTTATCCCTTTCTTCTTTGTCCTTCGTCTCTGTCTTGTCTCTCCTCTACCCCTCCCTTAGTCTACCTCCTCCTCTCCTGTGCTTAATAACTCATCTCTGAATTTCAGTAATCAGATGGCAGATTTAGTGACACTGCCTGAAATCTTGTCCAGGGATGTGTGCATGGTTGTATGCCTGCAGACTTTAAAGCCTGGCTCACACTGTAGGATAATCGGGCCGATTTGAGCTACGATTCTTTCTTCCCGACAATCACAGGGTCGCTCCCAACGCAAGGCTGCTGGGAACCGATTATCTGCTCAGATTATCTTGTAGTGTGAGTGGTACAAAGATCCAATCCTAATCGGGGCCGCCCCGATTTATTTCAAACATGTTTAATATTTAGAATTGAAAATCTTGACGTTTACGTCATGAAAGGGTCCGGCAAAAGTTGTATGTGACTACAATATAATCACGAGAGACAAGGAAACTTGTATCCATATATCTACAATTGTATCAACTTTTCTATATCCTACAACAACTTCCACTTCCTTCTCTTTCACCGACCGTCGTCCTTTGTTTTTTTCAAATGAAACTTAACAACAATTGTCAACGCTCCATCCCGATTTCACTGTGCCGTGCCCGACAATCGGGTCGTGCAGTGTGAGCACGTCAATCACAAGGTCTGTTCGGGCGTCGTAAACGATTCAGTCGTACTGTGTGAGCTGACATGCCACCCCGACTTTTATACAATCGGGGATAAATCGCAGTGTGAGCCAGGCTGAAGTGTGTTTTCCCCTTACCAATTACTTATGGGGCTACTGCTGATGCATTAGTAAATATATGGAGTTTACTGGATGGGTTTTATTTTTGGCTGTTTAAAACAAACATTACTCAGATAGAACCTGTTGACTGTGTTTCTTTCTGGGCCATTCCTCTTAATCTGCCAGTCACCTTCACCTGAGAGCTGCCTGGTTTTCACATAATCAGCTTTCAGCAGTACCAATGATGCTGCTATACATTTTGAGTTTTCAGAGTGGTTTGAACTTTCAAAGCTACAGGTTTCAGCTTAAGAACATCTAAGAGAAACTGTGCAGCAACCAAAAGCTTGTCTAATGTTTTTAAATGCTTTATGGTCATGAGAAATGCTTGTTCTTTTAAAGTTCAGTATTTTAGGTAGTGCACATTTTATAGCAGAGCAGTTCATGTATAACCTGGTTATAGTGTGAAATCGTTCAACTGTGCTTTTTTTCTTCTTACCTTTTTGCATTCTTTAAGTGACACTTTGAGAAGGACTGCCTAATTGTCTTTTTCTGTTTGTGCTCATTTTGCACATTGGTGACTTGCCCTGAATGTGACCACACCTAAGTAGAAGTTCAGATGTAGTTAGTGCCAATAATGACTAAAGATTTTTCTATATTCTGTTTGTATAATGTCTACTTTAGCTTTCGTCTGCAGTCAAAATCACATGCCATCAGATGTGTTTTTGCCAAAGGAAGGCCTTTTTTGTGGATAATATGTTGGCTAATTATAATTGTCATTTAATGCTGACATGTAATTATTACTTCTCAGGAAGGTCTCTGAAAAGGACTTAAGGGGAAAACTGACACTAAACTGGACCACTTTCATAATGTCTAAATACTCATCACTCAATCTGGACAGAACTTTTCAGCTCACAGCCCCACACGGGAAATATAAGATTTGACCTCATAGGAAGAATATAAAGCAAGTGAAAACCATATTAATATTTTTTTTAATAAAATTGATATCTGTTGTTTTAGATTTAATTACTTCTCTACAGAATTTTCTTTTGAAAATTGTAGAACTTCTCATTAACTCATAAAATCACAATGAACTCAAATAGCTTTTTTAGTACTTAGTTTCAAAATGCAAAATTCACATCAGGGAAACCGCCTGATCAAAAAAGAAAATTATATGATGTTCCTACTCTATAATGACCTTACTGCAGTTTTTTATTTATGTTTTTATTTTAGGATTGTTCTGCCTTTATTTTAGAGATAGATGGTACAGTGGATAGAATCAGAAAGCAGGGAGAGAGAGGTAACAAGATGCGGGTCAGATTTGAACCTGTTCAGCCTGAGAAGGCAAACAAACATGAACCAAATAAGTACAAAAAAAATTCTACAAAATAATAATAATGTCACCGGGGCGCTGGTAGCGCAGTGATTAGTGCGCGTGCCCCATGTATGGAGGCTTTGCTTCTCCAAGCAGGCGGCCTTTTCTTTTACCGTTCAGGCTATTTGATTTGAATATTAGTTATACAATTAAAAACAACATGCATCACAAATCTGATGAACTGAAACATTTGCCAAAAGTTAAATGATCTAAAAAACAGTTTGACAGCAGCAGAGGAAGGGATTGCTCGTTCACCCTGAGATTATGTTCACTGCAGTCCCCCCCCGGGGCTAGTAACATGTCCTCTTAGCATGTGAAGGACATGGAGGCAATTACAATTATTAACACTACCTCAGGTGAAAGGTGTCCGAGTGTGTCCTGTAAGATGGGGTGTGTGTGCTGTGAGAGGGTGTGAGGACATTGGGAAAGACAGTGTGAAAATATGTGACCTCTTTTACTTACATCTGTAAGTGTGTGTGTGTGTGTGTGTGTGTGTGTGTGTGTGTGTGTGTAAACACATGCATAAGGATGATCCTTTAATATAAAACTGTTACGGGGCCCACTTATTCATACTCTGCATACTCTGTAGTGAGTTATCTGTTTGTGTACTTCTATGTACAATTTTTATGTGACAGGGATGAAACATTGAATTTCAGCTGAACCTGAAGAAACTCTTGCAGTACAGTGAAATCATTTCTTACACGATGACTTTATCTGCTGTAATTGCTAACCTACCAGCACATACATGTATTACTATTAGGAACATTAATATATATTGATGTTTAAACCTGTGGTATTCTGCAGAACATCACCTGGGAGGCAGATCCTCATAACAATTTGATAAAGTAAGAAGCTGAAGGCTTCTATGGGAACAAAACCTCATCAGAAAGATTGACCCTCTCGCTTCCCACTCCCAAAAAAGCCAGCTGTTCAGGTCAACTTCAGATTTAACACAGCAGTTTATTTTCTTCAGAACAGAGCAGGGCCCAAAACAAAAAAACACAAGGTGACTACCAAACACATTTTTCCTACCATGGAAAGAAAGTAAACAAAATGAAACAAAATAGCCTCCTATACAACACTATATTTTCTATTTACACACAAACTAAACAATTGTCCAAATTCCTGCATATAATCGACAGATCTGTCCTAGACAATACAAGAGGGTCTGATGTCAAGCTGGCTTGGTGGCTGGAGGAGAGCAGGCTGCAGCAGCTGACTTTTTAAAAGCTGTGATGCCGTGGGTTGATCAATCACCACCTGATCCACTTTATCACACGGCCACTGACACATGGCAGAGGAGGAGACAGGGCGGCACATCTCATAATAGACAGTAATATGACACAGGGTCTTCAGGCTACACTGACAGACAAGAAGAAAGAGTTTGCAGATGGAGACTTGAGAATTTATACATCCCATTTTGCGGCATGAGTCCAATATACCTAATTCCTGAATGAGTCATTTCAAAAAGAACATTAGTGTCAGGTTGGAGGGGAGTTGGACACAATATCTGCCCTGAGGTGTCTTAAAGTAATCCTAAAGAGATAATTATTAAAATCACAAGGGGAAAAAGGTACCAAAAATAGTAATGGCCCAAAAACAAGTAAGCTGCTTTTCTTATAGTACTGAGATAAAGGGAAACTAAACACCTGCTGCCATGTAGCTGAAACTAAACGTCTGGGGAGACCAAGGAAACACTCCTCAAATGAAACACAAATGCAGACAGAAACAAAATATGAAAGAGTTAAACTTTGGTTAGTTTTTAGGTATGAAAGCAAATAGGTTAGGTTTAAGTAAAATATGATGTTTTTTGTTTAAATGAGTCCTAATGTACAATACAAGTCAAATGTTTGGACACCTATAATTAAAAAAAGGTGTCTACCGTCGATGTCTAACTGTTTTTGTAGGTCATAAAGAGGCATTAGTATAACATTGAGACTGTTGAATAACCAGTCTTAACCTCCTCACTGTTTGTTTTAAGGCTTTAGCTCATTATTGAGATTAGGCAGGAATTTTTTTTTTTAGTGTTTGGAGATTTTTTTCCCTCCTGCTCTTTTGTTTTAACTCATCCCAAACCAAACTTGTCTCCTTGGATTTTTAATTCTCACGAGTCAGAAGCTATAACAAGCTGTGTGTCTCTGCTTCCCTCTACATAATTACTCACTGTGTGTATTGTCCCTGCCATCCTGAGACACACAGATAGACACAAACAAAAGTGAAGTTAAAAGTGTCTTTCAAGTGTCGATTAGAAGTTGGCAGTTTTATTTTTTATTTCTCATGTTGGCAAATGTTAACACTTTCATCTATAGAAAAGAAAACAATACACAAACCATGCACAAACTAATTGCTATGCAACCACCTTGGCGATTGAAGATTGAAGTATGACAGATTTCAAAGAGTCTTTTATTCTGTGATACAATCAAATTGGACCAATTAGAGATTCACTGGTGTTAATACCTATTAGATTTCTTTGTTGTTTCTCACAAACTAGTGTGCGACTTTTGCCAACCTTCGAGGGGTATGAAACCTTGCTTCTCTTTCTTCCTCCTCCTCAATCTCTCTTGCCAGCCATGTCGTGACTCTCTCTACTACAGTGTATTTACTCTCTCAATTTCTGTTTACTTTCCTGGCATGGCATATACATTATGTACATTACATAAGGAGGAAAGTAGTGGATAAAATAAAAGACAAGCAGTGGGATTGGCACTGCTGGCTGTAGCTCAGGAAGTTAGGTTTGATCATTGATCAGAAAGTTTTTCAGTCCTCAGCTCCTCCTGTCCATGTGTGACTGTCTCTACTTTTCTCTATAGTATGTAGTCCACCTTCTCTTACAAATGATATAATTTGAATGCAGTATTCACACCCTGGGGACACACATATTTGTCATAACAGTGCACCTAGAAGTTTGACAGAGTTGCTTATACACCCGCCACTGGGTGTTGTTAAAAAATGGGTTGCCTTAAAGAAACAAACAGCCATTTGCAGTCATATGTCTGTAACCATGGCAGCTCAATCAATCCAGCATTTTCACACGACAGCCACTTCCATCAGACATCACACTCAGGATTGGATAACTTGAACTAAGTTTAACTGTGATAATTTGTTAAAGGTGTGCAAGTTGTATGAAAAATAAGACCTCTCAATAGGTATCATTTAACAGTTCATTAGATACTAAAGATACAATGTTAAGTGAAAATCAGAAGGGAGGTTGAGTTAAATAAGAGGGGGAAGCTTCAGGCACACTCACACTCAGCAAAGGAAGTTTTGAAATGTGCTATAACATTAAAAAAAAACACCAACAATAAACACCCACAACACATTGTGTCTTCCTCAGTGGTTGGAAGGAGTCACTAACCAGGTGTAGAGGTTGTGGCTCACCCAACTCTGTAAATATGGGCCAGGAGGAGATGAGGAGAAACACCAATGTTTCCATTTATTTTTTAAACATAGGTTTTTTTTTTCTTTATCAGCAGCTGACAGTCACCTGGAGTTTATCATATTACCATACCATAAGACTCTGTGAGACAATGACTCTGTTAGCATTCAACCTTCCTAGGTAACATTACTGTTAGTCTTATAACACAATATTAAAAGGAGGACATTTTTTAACAGTTATGTCAACCTAGCTAGGGATTATTTTTCAGGAAATGTTTAATGCCAGCGTTGGCTCATAGGACTACACAGTAGTAACTAAAGGGTATTCAAATATTTAGTTTAGCTTAGAATATGGCCTGATATATTTTCACATTTTCTCTACAAATTAAAAAATAATAAAGAAATAATAAGAAGAAATGATTGCTTATATTTCCTACCTTTATTAATTTGCAAACCCAGAACACAGATTGTTATTTTGCATTATAACTTTCAATTGTTCTTATGTATCTGACTGTTCAAATACGGCCATGTATAAAGATTCATGTATATTCTATTTTTTTATATATATATATTTATTAAATCTCTTTTTTAACATTGACATTGCTTAATACATTCTCAAACCAGATAAATATAAAACAAGTTTTCATCTGTAGTTCCTGGGCAGAGGCACCTAAAGATGAAAGTTAAAAAAAACGTACACTTTGTCCAGAACAAAACAAAACAAAAAAACTGCCAGATGCATTTCAACATGCATAGCATATAAATGTTGTTAAACTTTAGTGTAGGCCAATGTGTTTTTGGTAAATAGCTTTTAACAACCTGCACTGCCACTCCTGCAGTGTTTATGTGCCATTTCACAACAAAAGAGTTTTTCTTTCTTCATAACAAGGGTCATGAAGATCTTTTCTAGAATGATTGTAATGTAACCATGTAGCACTATAGTGCTCTTACATTTCTCATATGTGCAGAAGAACTGGGTCACCGTCTTGATGTATTTCTCAAACCAAAAACAGCTTTTTCTCTGCATTCGTCCAGTCTTCCTGTTACTTTACACAGCGCCAGACTACACATGTAGACAGACACTCAGACACTCAGACACATTCAAACACACACACAGGCAGTAATTGATCATGTCTCTGTTTTTCTCACACTGTTTGAACAAGATTCTGAACACAGTGTCTCTGCTTTTTATTTTCTCCTTTCTACAGAGAGATCGTTTTGTAAAGCTTCTGGATCAGCTGCACAACTCTCTCCGTATTGACCTCTCCATGTACAGAGTGAGTCTTTGATTCTATTCTTTCCTCCACCACACAGAGCTATAGGTCTGTTCAGTCTATTCAAATGACATCTAAGTATGTCCTCACACAATCACCAAAAAAACGGATGCAGTGTATTGGTGTTTTTGTGAATACAAGAACTCAGTATGAACTCATCATCTTCGCCAAATTGACAAATGTTGTCTTCAACCAATATTTACCCCCTTCTGCTGTCATTTGGCTGCTTGATTTCCTCCAATATGCTCTTGATGTTAAAAATACCCTCTTCTCAGTGCCTCAGATGTTGTTTGTTTTTCCGTCTTAAAGTCAATTTTGGGGTCCCAGCAGGTTTTCTGATATATTTTTTTCAAAACGCTGAGCCTCAATCTCTCTGCATTCATTGTGACTGTTTGCTTGTAATCAGCCATGCAGTCATAAATTATAAGATGAGTAAACTGGAAGCTTGAAATGATTAACCTTATTAGGCAAATTACCAAACAGAATTGAAAGAGAAAAATATTTGTTGGGAAAACGACTTGTCGAAAAGAGAAAATATACTTGAATAGACGGTTTAAATTTGTTTGTGTTTTTCTGCAGAACAACTTCCCAGCCAGCAGCAAGCCTCGCCTCAGTGACCTCAAGTCAACTGTGGATCTTCTCACCAGCATCACCTTCTTCAGGATGAAGGTGAAAAGAAGTTATCTGTATAACATTCACTAATGTCTGTATACAATTTATGAAGCATTCTGAAGTGATTTTGAAGTTATGGTAGTACTACTGACCAATCATGAACCCATCGGCTAATGGCATGGATAAAGTGTTGGAGTGGTGGCCAACTTTTCGAGGCTTTGGGTGTAGCCAACTGTCAGCTATGAAGAACTGCGAACCAAGACTTCTGTTTTAGTGCACCATTGTCAACAGTCCTACAAGCAGCTCAAAATACAAGAACAGAGTTTCAAGACGCTGTCTAAGGGAGAACTTTTAGCTGCACTTGGTTCACCAAATTCAGCATTTTTGCTTATAACCTGAAAGATTATGTGGGAATTAAACCCATAAACCATAACTTGATACCATTCTATTCAAATCTCCACTCTACTGCTGCTAGAAAATGCACATGTTGGTCCTTGTGAGGACTTCACAGGGGTAGAAAAAGAAGAGCAAACACACTTTTACCTTGTGATTTTTTAAATGTCTGATTGACGTAACTTATTAAATAATTTTATTTCATAGTTAGAAGAAATGGAATTTAAATTCCAAGCTTTACAAAGCAGTGGAAACCTCTTATGAGTAGCTCTATACATGTCTGATGACCACAGCTACTTGCTTTCTGTCCAGATGTATATATTTATGTACTTTGTGTCTTGGATGAGTGTTTCTGTACAGAGCTATAACTGACTCGTCTTCTGATTCTGATGTCCGTTCTTGCACAGGTCCTGGAGTTGCAGAGTCCTCCCCGGGCCGCCAATGTGGTGCGAGACTGTGTTAAGGCTTGTCTGAACTCCACCTACGAGTACATCTTCAACAACTGTCTGGAGCTCTTCAACCGTCAATTCCAACCTGTTGTTCCACCAGTGAGTTTATTGGCATTGAAATGTTTGAGGCTATTTTTTTCTTGTCTTGTGAAACAAAAAAAATTGTCACTGTTTCATGTCAACTTGCTAGCTATTTTGACTGGTATAATTTTTGCTTTTCTGTGACAATGACACATCATATAGATGTGGATAATTGTGGATTTGGTTTATCAGCTTGACTTCAAAACGTTCTGCCGTTGTTGTCCCCGTTGCTGTGTTGACACTGTCACATCTCCTCTGCCTCTACACTGCCCCTACTGTTCATGTGTATTCTGCATCTTACGTCCACACCATGTAAGATTTTGAGAACGTGCATTTCCAAAATACCAAACAGATGCAGGGGACAGACATCACCTGCATGCGGGTTCCTAGTTAAAAGCAAAAATATCTGCGGCCTAAGGGTGAAACACCAGCAGTAGATCATTGTTGGTAAAAACAGGAAGTCAAACAACTTGAAGAAAATGTTATGCTTTGGTCTTAAACCCAAGCCAAACAGTTTCTTAATCACTTTTTACTCCACCCTCTCGAATATCTCATATCAATATCTTGTTTAGCTAAAATGTTTGTACTGAGAATTGAGTTTCTGTCTGACAAATAATTGTTTCCAGAACACTGAATATCTTGAATCAGTGCTCAGAAATATTGTGTCTTAATGTGTCTGAAGTCACAAAACCAGTCTGCATTCAGCATAAATTAACAAAATTTTGCACGATAATGAAAAAATGTGTCTGTTTCAGCTCTACGAAGTGTGGAGAAAGTCGTCACATAAACATGGAGACTGAATATTTAATTATAAATTGTCTCAGAATGAAAGAGGAATAATTATAGTTGTATTATTCAGTGCAGATCATTTCCCGAATTACAACTGTTTCTGTTCTTATTTTATGCCAGAATCCTCCTTATCTTCTCACAGAAGTGTAAACACTTATCTTATCACCGTTCTCTTTGTTTTCCTCCATGCAGCCTGAGCCAGAGAAGAAGAAAAAGAAGAAGAAGAAGAAAGAAAAAGAAGGAGAGGAGAGGGAAGAGGGTGAAGGAGAAGATGTAGAGGATGAGGAGGAGGAAGAGGAAGAAGAAGATGACGAAGAAGAGGGGGAGAAGAAAGAAGAGAGTCAGCCAGAGGAGCAGGGGCCGAGCATCCAGAATCTGGACTTCTGGCCTAAACTCATCACACTCATTGTGTCCATCATTGAGGAGGACAAGAATTCATACACACCCATCATCAATCAGTCAGTACCAGAGTTTTCTAAACACTTTTAAGTTTAATTTGGCATATTTTCAGAAATGTCTGAAATGAGTCAAAATGTGTTTTACTTTCATTATAGTATATATACAGTATATTTTTCATGTGTGTATTTAATTCATATCATAAATTACAACATGAAACTGCAGGTTTTTCTTAAAGATATGGCTCATAGCATTGTAAATTTATTGTAATCACATCATTTAACCTTAAAAAAGTTCACAGCAGCCTCCTGTTGACACAAACATAAGCAGAGTTCATATTGAACATTTTGCTTGTTTTTACCTTCTTGACTGTTTTTGGGGGTCAGTATAATAATATTATTTTTGGCTTTGACCAAAAAATAATAATAATAATTTTTCCACATATTTGAAATTTGGTGCTGTAAGTCATTTCCTTTTTTATAACATTACAGCTGTAATCACAGTATCCTTAAAGAAGAGCAGTGCACAAAATATTCATATCACTAGTTATGCTTTCTTCATGTGTTAAGTTTTTTTTCTGGCCTCTGATTGTTCATAAACACAAAGTATATAAACACACAAACAAACACAATGAGAGTTTCTTATTCTTGGTTGGTCTTTTCCTCCTGTTCAGGTTTCCTCAGGAGCTCAATGTGGGAAAAGTCAGTGCGGAGGTCATGTGGTTGCTGTTCGCTCAGGACATGAAATACGCACTGGAGGGTAAGACTGTGTGTGTGTGTGTGTGTGTGTGTGTGTGTGTGTGTGTGTGTGTGTGCGTGTGCGTGTGCGTGTGTGCGTGTGTGTTTTTTGCGTAAGTAACACCTGGAACTTTATTTTTTTCCCATCAACTTTCATTCTGCCCTCTTTCATCTTCTCTTCTAGTTTTGCATAAAATTGATCACTACCGCTACAACAACGGTGAGATTGTAGTTGATTGAGAAATAGTTACAGACAAATAGTCTAGTCAGAGGAGGCAGTAGTTGGATTGCTGCTGAAGTGTTTGTTGTCTGTTAATCTATGCAGGAAGGTTGATCATTTAAATCAGAGAGTCAAAGCTAAAGTCTGCGACCAGAATGGAAAAACCTGACAATCATGGTTATGGAGTCCAAAAAGTACAGTATGATCTCGCTGATTTATCTGTAGGTGGCAATGCAAAACAGGTCGAAGAAAAAAAAGGACATAACACTATGTTAGATGTTGACCTGATGCAAAGTGTGGTTTCACAAGTAAACACTGTTAATGTCACAGTGATTTCATGTCCTGTGAGTTATTGTGAAATTATTTTAACAGTTTATTTCACCGTGAGAGATTTCTTTGTGATCCATGAGATGATTGGTTTCCTGTCAGGCTCTCCAAATTATACTGTAGCCTACTTTTGAGACAAATGCACCAACAGCTGTTCCAAACTAGTGAGCCATCATCATCAGTCTGCTTTGACTCTCCCTCCATCTCAGTTACAACCTGCTTAGCTGCTCATTAGTCGGCTCCTGGCTGTGCTAACCCAATTGGAATAAGAGTAGAAGCTGTAGGAAACTATAGTGTCCTAAAACAATGTCAGAACACTTAGAATTAGAATTACTTTGATGTGTTAGTTGCCGTAAAACTGTGTCTGCTTATGTAGCTGAGTCACCACTCACAGAAGAGTTTAAGTACTGGTTTTTATAATCTCTGTTTACAGATTCTAAATAAAAATTTAGTCAGTGAATATGAATAAAATTTGCAGGCAGTAATCTAACGACAATTTATGTATGCGTTTAAACAAATATCTGTATTCAAACGCAACAAACACTCCTTTCTCAATACAAAATTTCAACTTGAGAAACAAATTGTCTTGGCACTGTTGCAAAAGCGTGGTTTAAAAAAAACATTTAAAAAGCATTTTAAAAGTTGTTTTCGCCTCCTGGTGAGGCAGACCTGACAAAGCCTCCATCTTTATTCTTTACTGATCTGCATCAGGATGTAGTTAATTTCAGAAAAATGAAAACCTGTCGATTGCGAATGAATTGCAGGAAAACTGCTTCTTTTTCAGGCTCACAGCTGAAGCAGTGAAGACAGAATGATGCCTCTGTCTGACACATAACTGAGACCCATCAGAAACAGATGAAAGGGCTCCCCAAAGGGGATGTAATGAATAAAGAAATGCTTGCATTTCATTTCGGGACATTTCTGGAGGGAAACATTTTTTATTTGCTTTGGAGCTGAAAACACATTTGCGTGTTACTAATTGGACTGTGAACAATGCAAAGCACCAATAAGAAAGTCGTCGCTTGAAGTAATTTAATGCTAACCGCTGGCTTCACCGGAATTACTAAGAAGGTGCCGATTGATCCCAAAGGCATATACTGGATCATTGTCAGATAATGATTGGCAATGATTGCGGTTACGTTCTGAGATTGTAAATTTGATAACTGAAAGTTCCTTAAGCGATTTGATCAATGTCTAGATTACCTTTCAGTTCATTTAACATTTAACATTATATTCTCCATCTCTGAAGCCTTTCTCATCTCTTTCTTTGCTTTATCACACCCACTTCTCTTTTCTTATCTTAACCTGTATTGTTGTTTTTTTATTTTAACTCTGTCACCATCTCAGCTCCCACCACATTTCGAATCCGCAAAGTTGATTTCTATGCTGGTAAGACCTCTGTTTGCGTGTATCTGTAGTTAGTCATGAATAGCAGATCTGTTCAGTGACACTAGACACAACAACAAGAGAAGGGATGAATGAATCAGGCCAACTGAAAAATAAAGTTACAGCACATCATGTCCTTTAGACTTGTCACAAATTATTATAATTTGGGTTTGGACATGATCTAATTCTTTATAGAAGACGGGCAATGACAGAGGGGGGAAGTGAATGAGAGAGCCAATGTAATGTAAAATGTGAAAGTATGAAAACAAAACTACAAAACTTGAAATATAATTTATTTTGTCTGTATTTTATGGCAGTTTACTGCTGGATAAAAAAGGAAAGAACTCTATTTCTCTCAATTAGATTTAAAGTAATGCTGAATACTGAAAAGTTGTGTTTGCTGACTGGTTCCCTTGCATACTGATGACCCACTTCACTTAAAGTCTTGTTTGGGGAATTTCAAGCAAGAATAAGGGAAAGAAAAAGCAAAGTAGTCTTTTTTTAAATAATGGGCCATAAAGTGACATTATTATTCAGCATTTTCTTTTTGACTTGCATGTGTTCCCTTTCCTTGGAAATGAACTCTCTCACGTCCACTTGCTTTCTCCCTTTACCAAGAAAACATTTTAATTTTTTATGTCCAATTTGAAAGAAAACCTAGAATTTAAGTCCAATTCATGATCATGATGAAGCTCTATCATAATCTTTTCCTAAACTTACAAGGATGTTTTTCCCCTTAAAAATAACTTAACTGTGACTGTTTAACAACATTAGTTTTGGCTAAAATGCTCAATCAATATACTAATATAATATTTTAACCAGTACTATGTATTTATTTATATATGCTATATTTATATATTTATATCGCACATATATTATTTTCCTTCTCAAGAATCATTTTAGAAGAACAGAACTATTTTTAAACTATTCGCTCTGTGTACTGGGACACTGACTCTTCACTTCTTCCTTATGTATGTTTGTTCAGTTGGATCCAATAAGGCCAGAATTAAACCAGGTACCTCTGATTAGACTTTGATGAAAACTGAGGGGAAGATCAGCTTAAGAGGACTTCTTTATTTTTTATTTATTTTTTTGTCTACAAACCTTTTGGGCAGAGATTATTAATTGATTCCCCTAGTCACATAAAAACAAGGATATATTGATATAATAATAAGATGTAACATAATTTCAGTTAACAGGAGAGAACAGGATAAAATAAGAACCACAAAAAATGTAGAGGCAGAAAATAGATATGTTACCAACAATTTACGTATCCACCTGCCTCTGATCATAAGCACACTACTAAAAAAAAAAGGATATCAGATCTTCAACTGCAGTTACCGCAAGAGATAAATCTGTTTCTTGTTGTTTGTGTGTTTATTTGTGTGTGTTTGTGGTTTCCACAGAGCATGAGAAACACAGACTGTGTAAGACTGCTGACTACATGAACCTGCACTTCAAAGTCAAGTGGCTTTACAACGAGTATGTGAAGGACCTGCCCGCCTTCATAGACACTGTGCCTGAGTACCCTGCGTAAGACTCACCCTCACTCACACACACACACACACACACACACACACACACACACACACACACACACACACACACACACACACACTCACACACACGCTCACACACTTTTGACTCACTCATTATCTACCTCCCTCATTCCCTGTCTCCACCAGACAAAAGCGAGCTCCTCTTGATTGATTGTCTCTCACTTTCAAAAGCGATTCTGTACGATGTTTTAGACACACTTCGCAAAGCTCTTTTCACTGGGTATGAACTACTAGAAATATCAATAATACTGTACAATGTATCAATTTTCACTCCGACAGCACAGTTCATTTAAAAACAAATATACAAGGTTCTTTATACCAGGGAAACTTTTCAAACAATGAGACAACAGTCAATTATAAGAACAAACAAATCTCACAAATTCAATAGGATAAGATAAAAACAGAAAAAGCGCAGGACACAAACAGGAGCTTTAACAGTAATTTAAGTACATTTTGACAAGAGGATTTACAATCTTGTTGTTCTTGCTGCAAGCGCTAGGATTCAACACAAATCATACATGCTCTGTTTGTCAGAGAAGCACTGCTGTCAGGAGATTATACAGACTCACATAATTCTTTTGTATCAAAGATCATCAATGATGAAGCTTTTTATTTTTGCAGCTGGTTCCTTCAGTTCGTGCTGGCCTGGTTGGCTGAGAATGAGGAGGTGTCGATGGAGTTCATGCACGGAGCACTGGAGAGAGACAAGAGAGAAGGGGTGAGTCAAAGAGATGAGTACATGGGGGTCACAAAACAAAAATGAATCAATACTAAAAACATAAAGGAAAAATGTGTATTTTAAATAAAGCTTTTTTTTACAGCAGAGAATGTGGTTGAACAAATTGTTTTGTGTCCAAACAGAGTGTTGAATCATTATGATGCAGCTCTTTTTATTTTCTGTAGCAGCATTTGCTGTTCAGCGTCTTGCTGTTGCTGGGCAACCCATCACATCTGATAGCTCCACATGTTTTAAGGAGATGTAATATAGCAAAGTGCATAAAACTGCGAACAGTTGCTAAGGAATCAAGTGAATGTTAATAAAAGTCAGAAAGATGCTAAGTTCCCATAACTTGCTTCATACTCTTGTATGCTGGGGTTTTGTTATTTTACACTCTTATGTTGATATTGTTAACACTTCCAATAACAAGTAGATTTGATATTAAAACAAAAAAAAGTCATCATAGTGTCACTCTGTTGTTGAAATTTTGCAGCGTTCACACATCAGTTCTTGCCTCCTAAAATCCACCCACACCCCTTCATGGAAATGATATCCCTCTATGAGGGTCATGTTTGAAAGAGCTACATTCTCCCATAAATATAAATATTAAGCATTTCATTCTAAGTTGCAATTTATAGGACAGGGAAATTGCCATACCAGTTACGAAAATTTAATTTAGGAAAACAGGAACAATTTGCAGGCCTCTCATGTAATTGAGATGAGACATTATGTTTTTGATCTGAGCTATTATGACCGCTTCACAAACTCTGAAGAACTCAGGTCAATTTGCTCCCAAGCAGGAAGAAATTGGAGAGGGGACATTAGTCGTAATGGAAGGGGACTCACTCCCTCCTAATGACAGGAAAACAACAATCACATAAAAGAAAATACACCGCCTGCTGTTGGATTCAACTTCTCTGTTACGTGTCCCACTTGTGATGAATAAATGTTTTATTTTCACAACAAACCCCACTTGGTTTCCAGTGGAACCCAATACAGTATCAAATACAAGAGACATCGGGTCCATTAGTTGCACAATAAAACCATATTCTTCTGTTGATGTTGTTGTTGAAAAGGTGCCAATGTACACCAGCTGTAGAAAACAAATTATGCAGTAAAAAGAAGAATAGCTGTCTGACACCTAAAAGAGAATGACAGACAGCTTCAACGTGACCTTTTGTTCACAGACTCTTTGAAGGAAACTCTCATTGATTTAGTTTTAGCAGATTGTGCTTTTGTCCAACCGGTCACAGATGAACAGGATGATAAAAGAGTGTTATCTATCAACCTCCTGCTGTTTCAGAAGCTGCACTTTCTGTTGTTAATCTGGAAGGTTATCATGAGAAGAGTTAAGTCTGCAGACGTGTTGGGCGCTCTGACTGGTTACTGAACAAAGACTTTTCAACGTACAGTATATTGAAGCACACTAAATTTCTCTAATGGTCAGCTTGTTTTTACTATAGACATTAAAGCTACTCTGGTTGTCCATTACTAAGAGTGCTTTCAGATAAGCATTGCCTTACAAGGCAGACAGAGTGGATGAAATGGCATAAGACTCATATTAAATCGGGGCGCTGATGGCCTATAGTGGTTTGGTCGCATTCCACTGTATGGAGGCTATTGACCTCCAAAGGCGGGTGTCCTATCGAACTAAACGCAAAAGTCCAGATATAGATCTTAAAAAAAGCAGATTCATATTCAGGCTCTGGACTCTGACTAAATCATTCTCAATAAGGAAGCACCAAGCTCAGGATTGGGAATAGTGACAGCCTCAGAGTTATGGACGCTAGGGCGGAGGTGGAGCTTTTTAAGAATGAATACAAATAATGAAAGTAGCAGCAGCAGTGGCAGCAAAGCACTCAGGATTAAACACTTTTCAAAACATTGAAAGGGTTGGTTGGTTGGTTGGTTAATCGTGCCGTGAAGGAAAAATGCTGCATATGTGTAATGACAGACTTGTGTTTGCTGCTTTCACTTTCCAACAATTTCAGCTTCATTTGTGGATTTTCTATCAGAGAATGCTTAATAAAATCTTCTACTACTTAACCTCATCCCTCTCTTATGAAGCATGACGGCACATCTCTTTTAAATTAGTGGAGTCCATTAGAGACAGAATTTATTGAGGAAGTGCTTATCGGCCCCGTCTGCCTCTTAAAGGACCTTTTATGCATCATGCTGCAGGTTCCTATGAGTAAAAGAGACAGACATGATACATCAGGTCTCCCACACACTGGGGAAATATGTGACAGGCTTCTCTTAAATACCACAAACTACCAAACCACCCCTCAGGGCAGCATTTACATTTACATCTGAGCAATTCAGTTGATAAATGTATCTCTAAGACCGTATGATTAGTGCTGACATTCAATAAACCCTCAGCTCCCATTCCAGGACCAACATTTCCAGTGAATTATAATGATCATACTGGTCAGAGCACCCACTAATCTGTGGTGTAATTACACAGGAAGACAGCATCAGTAGAAAGGAAAGGAAATAAGAATGGTTTGAATTTTTATTTGATTTCTGGAAAATAAAGATGGTGGGGACAAAAAAGGCAGCAAGGAGCAATGATACTTTCAAAATGATAAAAGTAATAATTGAGTTGATGATTTGATTAAAAAAAACTGCACTAGTGGTCTTAATTTTTGCATTTTATCTTCTTGTCTTTCTGTCCGCAGTTCCAGCAGACGTCTGAGCACGCTCTGTTCTCCAGCTCTGTGGTCGACATCTTCACTCAACTCAACCAGAGCTTTGAGATCATCAAGAAGCTGGACTGTCCAGACCCCGCTGTGGTGGCTCATTATAATCGACGGTTTGCCAAGGTGAGAGATGAAAAACAAGTACTAAGTTGAACTAATTTCCTGGTGCTTGTACAACTGATCAAGCACATTTAGTTCACGTTTCTGGTATCTGTGTCTTAAAAGCAAAGAAGCTACAAATATTTCCAATATAATTAGTCATTTATAACCGCTTGCTCTCTGGAGCTGATGATCTAGTAGCTAACAGTTGAGACATTTTGCTTTCTTCTCACTTTTGTTTGAGAGGGTTACACAGATGTGACAGAAATCAGGGAGGATGCAGGAATTGGGCAGTAACAGGTTGCTGTCCCCTGAAAAGCTAGTTTCCAGACTAGGAAAGTCGATATCAAGCCTAGCAAGTAGCTGATATGAGGGTGCTGGACTCTGTAGGTAACCAGCAATGAAAGCGAATGGCTAGCAATGAAAGTGGTTGCTTGCATGGGCTGTTAGGTTGGACCACAGACTGTCTCAGTAATGAATGTAGCCCCCTTGACATCAACCATCGGTTTTTGGACGATCTAAATAATTCCTCAATTGAGCATTTCATTGTGTTTGTCTTTATTCTTTTTGGAGCGAGAAGTGACTATACATGATATAAAGGGATGAGGGGGTGGCCGACAGGAAGTTTTAAAAGCTTAACAGTCAACACTCGTGGCTAAGTCATTAGCAGGGGAATGAGCTAGTATACCCTTGTGCTCCCACAAAATTCAATTATATTTGTAGGGGCTGTCGACTGTAAGAATATCTAAGAATATCAAATTACCTCCCCATATATCTGAGAAAGCCGTCACCGATCCAGACTCAGGCTCTGCACTGAATGACAAATAAATACATTTATGTTAAACACTGAACACTAACAAAACAGGTAGAATATCAATAGAACATTATGGTACTATAACTTCACTCACCAAACAGCATGAGCCCAGTTTGTGCCAAAGGCAATTTAATCATTCCAATTTTTGAATGAAATACTCCCACCAACAACACAAACACAGCCAAGAAAGTCTGAGTGAACAGGCTGTGTTGATGTCTTACACCAGAAAAGCACTATACAAGCTCAAGTCCATGTACCATTTATCGATGCCCCATATTTTAATGATAAAATAGAATTAAAATGGGTGAGTTAAATTGAACCAAATTAAGAGAAACATGCTTTAGAGACATACAACTATTTTCTTACCAAGCTTTTAACATGATTATAAGGCTACTGCTATAGAAATATGCATGTTAACATTGAGCACCAGAGGATGTTGCATGGGTTGGACACATTAGTTACCGTCTTGGTTGAATGAGAATGCTTGAATCTCAGTTACTGTATTAGTGCTGGCTTACCATGTAAGAGATCCACGGCTCAAGCAAACACATAACCTCCATCAACATCTTCGGTCTTAAATTTAGATTTTTTCAATGCACCATAATAAAATCACACAAGAAAGTGTAACTCTTAGTATTTATAGGTCAGGTCACCAACTTTACAAAAGATAGGCCTGTATATTCGCCCCAGCTTCTTGTGGTCGGCCTTTCCACAATAGCCAAGAAGACAGCTTTGGTATTATTTGGCCATTTCGCCTTTTATAATGTTTTCTGTAATCACTGCCTTTACCTCCAAGCAGCGCTCAAGGTGACATTTATTTTAAGAGCTTTTATAAGACTGCTTTTATACAACAGTTATATAAGCAAGAAATAGAATTAAAAAGAAAAAAACAGCAACAGATTATTTTTAACTACCAACTCAACTATCCACAATTGAACTGACACTGGAATGTTGCTAAGCAACCGAAACATTCCTTTCTAATGCACTTTCGCTACTCGAAACTTTCTTTTTACAGTCTATGCTCGAAACCAGTGAAACTAGAGTCTGTGTGATTTTGAGATTTTAGAATGATTAATGAAAAACACTGTCAGCTGTAAATGTGAATTTAAAGTATTCAGAACTTCTGGCTGAGGCAGACTGATAGTCTTACATAGCCAGTGATGTTGTTGTCCTATATTGTCACTCGTGAAATGCCTCTTTTCCAATCAGAATACTAACTGTTAATATTTATTATCTATGATAACCAAACTACAGGACATATATATGGCTCTGTAATAAGAGGGGATGAATTGTTTTTCATTACTGAGGCAGTAAAGAATTAGATCAATATTCCTCTCTGGTGAAGTTTTAAGTCAGTCCTTGTCTCAGGAGTTTTTCGTACTCAACTCTTTTGTATTTGATTCTTGAATCTTCAAAATATAGACAAACAAGTTTCAAGTATTTTTCTGCAAAATGAATGCAGTGTTTTGTTCTGATATCGAACCTTTGATGTATTTTTTTAACTTCATTTTGAATTTAATGCAGCTGATTTTAGGCAAAGCCATTCAATCTAACAAACCTTTTTATGCAGGAGAAATGTGAGTGTGTGTTTGTGAATGTGTGTGTGTGTGTGTGTGTGTGTGTGTGTGTGTGTGTGTGTGTGTGTGTGTGTGTGTGTGTGTGTGTGTGTGTGTGTGTGTGTGTTTGTGTGATATGATGGCTCAATCGATATGGGACTCACTCATTAAATAAAGAACGGCTAATGTAAGCCATCACTCCTAGCCGTCCACCTCTCTGTCCCCAACCTCTGATCCCTTTTATTTGCTGCCGATCAGCTCCTGTCCGTCTCTCTGTCAACCTTTTCATCTCTGGCCTGTCTAAACTGCAGCCTGTTTTTTTGTTTTTATCCATACTTTCCAGTCTGGTTCCCCCATCAGCTCTCCAACCTTTTATTCTGTTTCTTAAGATATTTAAAATGTTTTACCTTCTTTATTTCTATTTCTCCATATTTTTGTCCATAGTTTCTCCCTGTAATTGCCGTTGCACCCTCTTATTCCTTATGTTTTCCCTCTCGTATAGCCCGTTCTCTCTTATAGTCCATTGCAGAAAAGTAATATTGGACAAAGAAAAAAAATGAAGACTGGGTCAAACAACAAGAGGAAACTATACTGCGGTATCCAGGCAGTGATCAGGCCACATATTTAATGCATGAGTCCAATCTGCCATCTGTCTGACTCAGCAGAAAGTAGGGAAATCTCTCAGACACTGTGACATAACAGGCAGAGTTTTTGTCAATCCCTGTCCACAAGTTACCATCAAGACCGAATAATTAACCCGCTGATTTATTTTAAAGTACCCTGTGGAGTATTTATGGTATACAAACCTGACATCGTTTCAAACCCAGAGGCATTTTTTAGGCAGAACAAAGACTTATTTGTACTTAATTTCCGGCCACATTAACATTTGACGTTCCTCTCTCACGTCACCTGATAATGCAGGTGAATTATAGTTAACATCTGTGCTGATTAACAGACTCTTCTCAAAATACGAACAAGTGACCAAACTCCTTTCACTCTGCAGAGCCCCTTTTGCACCTTTAAGAAAAAAGCTAAAGAGCCAGCTCTGTCATGAACACCTATGCACTTAATGATATTGATGATGACAGTGATGAATTTGATGATGATGATGATGAGGTTTTGTTCGATAAGGACGATATTCAGGATGGTTTTGATGCTGATTAAGAACTCTCAAGAACAGCCGTCAGTGTTGTGCTTTGTCTCTGTGCAATGCCTGTCAGCACCCTGTGTGTCTGATCAGATTTAAAGCTGTTTGGTTGCATTTACTGACATTGATTCCTCCTCTCTAGATCATTGCCGCGCGCCGGCCAGGGGCCGCAGCAGCCAAGACACAAGATTGGCCTGTCGGCAGCAGCCATGTTGCCGCTATATTTATATTTTTTATTATCAGCTTTCTCCATAGAGCCTGTTAGCATAGCTTCCAAGCAATATGGCGGACGTTAAGTTCAATTCTGGAGTGAACTCCCACCCACTGATCTGTGATTGGTCTGTAGCTTCAGTGGTTGAAAATATGAGGAACTAGCGTTGTAGTTTCACCCCGCTAACCGCAACAGCTTCCAGTGACGCAAAAATTACGATTTCTGCGTCATCGGAAGCTCCTTTTCAGACTTAGAAATACAAAGATTTCCCATCTGAGGGGAAAATGAGGGCGGGATGAACGACCATTCAAAAACACTACCAGGTTTCTAATGTTACAAAGCTTAATGCAAATTGGTGAAGTATCCCTTATCAACACCCCTACTTGTGTCACATTTGTGCATGCATTTCAACTTCAACATTATGGTTACATTTTTCTTACAGCTGTGTTAAAACGTGAATCGTAACAAGGACAAGGGAAAAAATCTGTAAGACCAATAAATGCCTGAATACATCAGGTGACAACACAACTCAAAGAGTCTGTAAAACAGTCATATAAAGACCATCAACATTTATCCCGAGTAAATGGGAACCTATTCATCAACAGGATTTTCATGAGACTATAACAGTTCTATGGCTTGAGTGAAAAAACATGTGCCTGTTATACCTGACCTTTGGTAGACTATATCACTGTAGGGGGTATAGTCTAGTATAGGGGAGGGTAGAAGCTGGAATTCTGCATAGAACAGATAAAGAGGACAAATGTCTCAATGTAAAAAGCCTTACAGAAGATGTGAGGAAGATCAGGCAGTTTAACAAATTTAATCTTCCTCCTTCTTTATTGAATTAAAAAGCCCCCCCCTTTCTAATTTTGGCCACTGACTCTTTTCTTTGTCCTCTTCTATCTTAACTTTATTTCCTTCATTTTGAATGTTAAAATAAAAAAAGGTATAGCATGGTAGATAATATGTAATGCAAAAACATGTAATAAATACATTTTAAATATGTTTACTTCCCCTGCTTCTCTGTTACTGTTCTGTCACACATGCAGGTCCCTTAATGCTCATGACCAGCTGATATTGGCCTTATTCAATGTGATAATGTGAAAAAAATCAATGTAGTAATAGATCAGAAACAGGCCGCTAATCTTGCAGTGTGAATATGGCCGAGGGCATGTAGCCAAGTCAAAAACACAAGGACTTTGCTTGCACTTGGGTGATGTTAAAACTTACTTGAGACTATAGCTCCCAAAAAAGATTTGACTTGCTCACTCCAAAAGGACTTGGGAATGACTTGACACTCTCTCTGGCAGACTATAAGGAGCTGACTTAGACTGAGTTCAAATAGATGTGTCCTTTAACTTCTCAAGAAGTTGTGTAAACATGTCCTTCTTGTGTGTTCTTGTGTTTCCTCAGACGATCACCAAAGTGCTGCTGCAGTACTGTGCCCTGCTGGCCAAGAGCTTCCCCTCCTACTGCGAGAAGGAGAAGATAGTGAGTACTGCTGTGTCTCCTCTCTAAAACTAAACCACAACACTCAGATTCTGAGTCAGAGTCTGAACTTTTAAAAGCTAGAGCTCCCTCTGTGAAGCAGATTAATATTTCAGCTGCTGCTACCCACTTATATAACTCTTCAACTTGTTTTCTCTTTGTTTGATTCCCCCCTCCTTTCTTTACATTTTATCCATTGTCTTTATTGTCATTTCCTATTTTTTTATCTGCTTTATTTGACTTTTATCTGCTTGACTTATACTGAACTTTCCCACTTCCTCTCTTTCTCCTCCAGCCCTGTGTGCTGATGAACAACATCCAGCAGATGAGGGTCCTGTTGGAGAAGATGTTTGAGTCGATGGGAGCAAAAATGGTAAGGGTAAAAGAGGGGGGGAAATCACACCTGTACAAACTTGCAAACCCTGGTCCTGCAGCGTTAGTATTTCATCATCTGCTGAGGAGACCTGAGACTTTTTCATTGTAACCTGCAGAGTGCTCTTATGATTATAATGAGAACTTGGCTGTTCCGAATTGCCAAGTACCTACTCAATCTGTCAGTAGGCAGTAGGCAGTACTACTATCCGTGCTGTATACTGTTAAGTACCTACTATTCAGTAGGCGCGCACAGTAGGCAGACAGTGTTCCTACTTCGTCTGATTCATTCAGTCAGGAAGTGGTTTGTACAAAAATATAGCTGCAATTAGCTTTTTAGGGGGATTCAATATCACTTCGCTGATTAAATTGTCAGAGAAAACAAACAGTAGATTCCAAAAGAAGCTCTTTTGACACTTTTACACATTTAGTGTGCAAACTTGTTGTGTAAGGGCAAAGGTCGTTGCCGAGTGAACTGTCTCATTAGTGATGGTGGGGAAACAGTGGTTACACAATGTACTGTTTTTACACCAAAGACAAGAAAACTGATCAGGGACACATTTGATCCTTTTTTTTTTTGAGAATGTCTTGTCCTTGCTTGGTAGAAAAGACTTTCACAACAAGTGCTGCAGGAATGCAGGCAAGACAAACAACATGTCCAATTGAGGAAAATACACTCTTTGGGACACTGTAGTGTTTCAGCATTGCTATTGTCATTGTGGATGTATTTTTTTAAATCAGTATCAGCCACCATCAACATTGTAGTTTGAATAGCAGTATGTTGTGAAATTGGAAAATTACAATTAGGTCAAAATATTCTTAAAGGTGGTGTTGTCAATATTGCAGAATATTCAAAAGTCAGTGTCTGTGTTGGTCAGCCTTGGCATTTTGAACATGTCTCTTTCCAGGTTATTTTGTAAACAAGATATTCCAAAAACCAATTGAGGGAATATCTTTCATGTACCGTATGTACAAATGCCCACCTGGACAGAAGGATAAACTGATAAGATTTTCGAAGGTCAAGATCACCATGTCTCGAAAATGTTTCCTTTGGTCAAGAACTCAGGCATTAATTATGACAGGATTTCATACCAGTGTCTGGAAGGATAAAATGATGAATTGATTTCACTTTACATGGTCAGTTACTCTATAATGTCCTGGACGAATACTTCTCTAACTATTAGTCTCATCCCATTATCTTGAACATCTCATCAACACTTTGAGGGAACTTATAAGATCTGTTTCTTATTAATCCGCCCAAATGAGTGAAACAATCTCATATTGATTACTGCAAAATCCTCCCTCTCTCTCTGACTCTATTGTACCTTCTTTTGTGACAGCAGTCCAAATTCATATCCCATGATCGAGAGAGAGAGAGAGAGAGAGAGAGAGAGAGAGAGAGAGAGAGAGAGATTTCTCTGGTGTTATGTCCCTGTTGTATAGTTTGTATGGTTGTAGATGGACATCTCCTGTGTAACATGGGTCTATTTTCTTTGTAAAGATATTATATTCTTCAACGTATTTTCACTGAAGATAAAAGATGAAGATATACGTTATAAAGATATATGTCCCTGTTTCCTCATCCTGGCCACAGTAACACTGTTGTTCTATGAGATACATTGATGGATGTAAACTACAAGGCCCTAATTTTAGTTAAGATTTGTTATTTAGGTTATGGTTATGGAAGTTCAGACAATTTCTTGAACTGGTGCTTGAATAGCTCCAGCATTATAAACAAACTAAGATTCCTGCACAAACAATTTCCTGTCCAACCATATATCTGTATGTTACAGCGCATTAACAAGCCGATATGTCCTGGCTCATCACCCTTCAGGTGGATTTTATTACTAACTAAACAAAACCATTCTGTATGTATTTCAGTTCATCTGTTTCTGTCAAGAGAAGCAGCAGAGTTGAACCGGATATGCATTAAAAAAAGTTTTTTGTGCAATTGTTCTGAACCACCAGTATTTTTGTCCAGTACATTTTTTAGTTATGAGAAGCCTTCCCTCTTTTTTTTGTTTCTCATGCAACATTTGCTTGACTGTTGAGTAACTTTGCTGGGACCTTTGCAATTCATATTTGATAAAGTTTGGTTGTAGCCTGTCTATTTGAGTCTATTTGAGTCCTCTTTTCCACATGAAAAAGTAAAAGATGAAGGATTTGTTCAAAAACAGCTTCCTTTGCATGAAGGCTGTAAGAAATTGAGTTTTTGTGTCTTTTTCTACACAGCTCACTATTGAGGAGGAGATGGTATGTCTAGGCTTTTTATTCTTTTTGACCACTTCCCTTTCCACTTTTATTCCTGAAAAGAAAAACATCCAAATACAGAAGCAAATCCCCAGCTTTAACCTCTTTCAAACTGTCAAATTCTCCTTTTACCCAGTATTGTGTTTTTTAGTCTAGATTCATCCCAATTTATACAGATACACTGGACTCCCCCCCCTTCTCCTTCTTCCTTCCTTTCTCTGTGCCCCTTGATATATTTTTTGTAAAAACACTGTGCTTTCCACAATGCTTTTTCTGTAAGATGGAAAACGAGGAGGAACCTGAGGAGTGTGATGAGGAGGTGGGTCCACCTGAGTTTGGATCTCATTACTTTTTAGTGGTTTTAAAATCATTTAGTGACACTAGGTGTACCTAACTTTTGATTGTCTTCTAATCAGGCCCTGGACTGTTTGTGAATAAAATGGATGTACCCCCCCTTGAGCTTAGTTATTGGTTTGTTGACTACTGTTTGAAAGCCTCAATTTTGGCACTTTTGCTGTTGCCATTTTGTTTTGTTTTCTACATAAAAAAGTACATTTTTGGATGAGAGGTTACATCAAGAAAGGGGTGTGGGGCTAACAACAATAACAGCAAAAGTGCTGCACATAAATGAGGCAAAGTAGAAAACACACTTCGACAGAAAGCAACTGTTAAACAAAAATGCTGGAAATCCAACAATTTGCAGGTTGGTTGCCATCGTCGGCCACAGTACCAGACACTGTGCAAAATATTTTTCAGGTCACTTTGGTACAAACTTGTCCATCACAGGGGTTAGTCATCTATTAAATGCGGTATTGAAGAACTTCACACAACCAGATACGACCATGAATTTGCTGGGACTCATCAAACTCATGTAATAAAGTGAAAAGTTTGAAGTTTCGCAGATTCATTAGCAGTTAAATTATTTTTATGATTGGCTCCTTTTTAGTTGCTTAAGGGTACGGTAGTGGATGCTAGTATAATTTGAGGATAGTATTGCAACATAAAGTACCGTAGCAACAACACATCATCATTCATTAAATCATTTTGTCTGCTTCTTCTTTATGATTACATTTTCTTTGTCCTACATGTTCTATAAGTTTGTGTATGTTTGTTTTTATTTCCATTCCATCTCCACCAGGCGATGAGTAAAAATGGAGAGGAAGATGACATGGTGGGTAGACTGCATTAAAAAAAACCTCTTATTCACCTTTGTTGTAAAAGAAACTTTGTTTGTGTTGAGTTATTGGGGAAATGTAATTTTGGTTGTCAGTCATGGCAGCCAAAATGAAAGGAATCCAAGGAAAGTGACGGATTCAGGTTGATTGAGGGTGAATTTTCAATCCAGATAATCTCCTTAAATGTTATTTTTTCTTTATGTCTTGTTTTTAAAGTCTAATTTCATCTTCGTTTCTTATTTGTCCATTTCAACTGCAGTCCGTCTGCTCAGACTCAGAAGGATCTGAGGTAAGATGAAATTAAGTAGAAACATCCAATCAAAGCAGAAATCCTCTATAGAAACAGTAATGTTTTTCTCTGAGACATTTTTCTATCACCGACTTAAATGTGTTTCTTTGTTAGAAGTTGTATGATTCTTACTGGAACCTTGGCATTCACAGTATTTTTTGAGTATTTGCAGTTTAAAGAAAGCGTTTATTTAGTGCGAGCAGAAAATCAGAACTAACACATTATGGATGACAATCTTGTATTTGGCCAAGGTGTAATGTTCAAGGTGTAGTATTAGGTTAAAAAAAGTACTTTAACATCCCTATACCCTTTACACCACATGGGATTAGTTTTAAGTTTCGGTATTGTGGGTTTTTTGTGCTTAAGGAGAGCGCAGCATATGAATCCCTTCATCCTGATGCCTTAATCCTAAATCCTCATGCTAGCACAGCTCTTTGTACATTTACAGCTGGGCACTAACACACTTCTTTCTCGAGTGAGTGCTTAATAGACTAGACAGTGGGCTGCTGATAATTGAGTTTAATGGTGTTTAAAAATGCTGTGTTGAGCCTCCACTTAATGGCTTCTTGTAATGTCTGAGTGTGTCAGCTGACTGTGGGGGGTCTGTGTAGGAGAGAAGGAGGGGGGACTATGTGCTGGTTAATGACTGAAGTTACTCTTTTCTTAACAGATGTTGAATTTGATGTTAAAGTGGAGAAAATACTCAAGCTGATATGGGCCAGCTATGTGTGCTTCTCTATTGTTATCTTTCTTTCAAGAGAGGTTGTTTTTGGTCGATGTCGTATGTGTTTATCTAATGTGTATATTCAGTTAGAAAAATGCTCAGAAAACTGGAGTGTGGAAACAATGCTATACGCTTTTCTAGAAAAATATCTTGTTTTTCTATACGGAAGTGAAATCATCTGCAGTTTCAATCTTTAATTGGACCTGACGATAAATCATTTTCAACAGGTCATGTTCCTTAGTTAATCTATGGTGCTAGTTAGAGGTCTTCTTGATAATAATAATACAATAATAATCACAGGAGGGTTTATTCATCAGGGAGTTCAGTGTATAGGGGAACCCAGATTGTTGATGACAGTGAGATGAACAATGGATTCACATTGTTGATGTGTTTTTGGACTTTTGAGGTTGGTCTAAAAGGTTACTTCGTAGTTTTTAATTTTTGTTCTGTCCTCAGATTTTGAATGAGGGCAAACAACACAAATAAGCAAAAAGACATGATTTCTAACGCTGTCCTGCTTTTACTTTACTTTCTGCCCTTTCCTTACTCATCCTGTCTGCTTC